CCGCGAGATCGTGACCTGGCTGAAGTCGGACGCTTAACCGACTGCGCCACCCAGGCGCCCCCCTATTTCTTTATATTCCCACTTGCTGCTACAGAAAGGACATCAAGAACACACATGGCTGCCTACACACGATGATCAACATGTACCTAAGTGGTGTTCTCTTTGAGGAAGGCACTGTGTTGTTGGGTGCTGGATTTCAGGACCAAGGCTCCCCTCTGGTTCTGCAGCCAGCAGGGAGAGGTCATGATATTCTGGGTGGGACACAGAATCCCCAATTTAGGCAGATGAGTAAGAATCGCAGAAGGTTCAAATTGGCAGAGACCTTGGAGACTCCCTGGTCTGCATCCTAGCTCAGCCCTCAAGTGACAGAGAAGGCATTGTGATGGAAAGGGTGGGTCCCACAGCCTGTGACTGACAATGCCAACTTCTGGTTCCTGTGCCTTCCACAAGGGTGTTGTGACCTCAGTAGAGTGGGAAGTGTGGGCTTCTGGGTCTTGCAGAGTTTGGAATGCCGTTCATTATTTCTGACTGTGTGATTCTGGGCAAGTCGCTTAGCTCCTTGAGCCTCAGTTTCCTTCTCTGAGGCACGTGCCCAACCTCCAAGACTCTGGGGGCTGCTGCCGCGCCTTCCCTTCCTGCTTTGCCAAGGCCTGAGGAGTCGCTGAGCCAGCCTTGGAGGTGGTCACAAAAGATCCTCCACCTTTGCAGCAGACCCTTGGTCCAACGGGTTGATGGTGGGGTAGGGAGGGGCTGAGCTTGCCTTTGGCCACATACATTTTGATCGGGTGAGATGCGTGGCCAGCAGGGGGCAGAGCTAGTCAAACCCGTAACTAGGGATTTTAAGATGGTCCTTAGATTGTAGACTCCGGGCCAAGAAGCCTTTTAGAGCCAGTTCATGCTCCCATTTTACAGACAAGGAAGCTGAAGGAATAAAAAGAAGGCAACGTGCCCAGAGCCAGGACACAGGCAGGGCCCAGAGACTTGGCCCAGGAGGCTCTTCAGATGTTGGATCTATAGCTGAATGCTGTTATCCATGTATCATGGAGGGTGGTGGTGGTGGGAGGTGGGAAGGTGGGCTGATGGCATGAGTGTATGAGATAAAAAACGTTGATCTCATGAGCATATACAACTGAAGTATAGCAAAACTTTCGAATTCTCATATTTGGTCTTTCCTTTTTAAAGTCCTGATGCTCTGAGAAAATAACACGGCCTGTGCCATGTCTATCTCTGAGACTGTGGACCAGGCCCCTGATGCTCAGCCCTGCTTGGGTCCTTGTAAACTTCCTTCTGCACACAGTGAGGCCCCCAGCTTACTCCGAGGGTGCTACGGTTTGTGCCCATTCTAGGAAGGTGAGGGGGTCCATGGGAGTTCTGACCCTCAGTCCCAAGGGTCACTTGGCTCCCAGTTCACGTAGCCCTGGGGTACACAGGGCTTTGAAGGCCTCTTCCCACAGAGACCCACCACCCTGCCTCCCTCCCTCAGCCCCTGGGAACCGTCCCCAGGCTCACCTGGTGGGGGACAGGCAGCCTGGACAGGGGGCTGAGGCCCAGCAGCGGGGTGGTGGCCATGGCAGCAGCAGCAGCCATGGCTGAGGAGGCGGCCAGAGGGTCCACAGGCAGCTCCGGGCTCTGCTCCTGCTTCACCATGACGGAGCACAGTTTGTGTCCCAGCACCCATGCTTCCTGTTCCACGTCTGGGGAAGGGGGCAGGACCAGGCTCAGGGGACTCCCCGAGCAGAGGGCTCTGCCCCCCTCCTCCCCCTGGGAGCTCCTCTGGACTGAGATGCCAGGGAACGGAGGGCAGCAGGCAGGCAAGGGCAGAGGGGGTTGCTTGTGACATAGGCTGGGGCCAGAAGACGTGGGGCATCTTCTTCATTCAGCAGCTCACACAGCAGGTGTGGACAACAGATCTGGACCCCTCCTGACTGGCTGTGGGACCTTAGGCAAGTTGCTTAACCTCTCTGAGCCTTAGCTTCTTCATCTGTAAAAGTGCCCGGCAAGAAGTAAACGTTCAATAAAAGCTAGCTATGGTCACCACAATGGCTGCCATCCAGGGAACATCTGCTGAGCACTGTGCTAGGTGCTGGGGACCTAGTGACAGTCACAAGCAAGTTTAGGGCAGCTGGAATGGAAAGGAAAGGGGAAGATGGGCCAGACTCACAGCTGTGACTTTGTCCTAAAGGTAATGGGGAAGCACTGAAGGGTTTTAAGCGCACTCAGATTTGTAATATCAAAAAAAAAAAAAAATCGTTCTGCGTGTGTGCATGCATTGATTGGACTGACTGCAGGCAAGACAGAAGCAGGGAGACTCTCAGCAGGCTGGTGAAATAGCCCAGAGAGAGAAGATGAAGACTGAGGAAAGGAGGTGACAGTGGGGATGGAGAGGAAGGGACATATTGGGGACAGATGTGGAAGAGAGAATCCACAGGACCTGGTGATGGGGGTGGGGGTCATGTTGGTGGTGAGGTGTGATGTTCAGGTTTCCCACGGCAGTGTCCTTTTCCTGCCCACTTAGTGGGGCTCTGGCCTCACCTGGGCCACAGGGCTGGCAGGCATCACCCCTTTTCCTGATGAGTGTCTACAGTCCTGCACCCTAAGTCAGCCCTGCCCACGGTGGCCCCAGCAGGCCCCAGGCAGCGGTGAGGTGAGGCGCAGGTCTGGGGAGCCAGTGTGCAGGGAAAGGGCGAGGGGGCTTTGGCCTTTGGGGCCTGCTGTGGGTAGGGAGAGGGGTCAGTGGTGCCTGGTCCCACCTCAGAAACGAGGCCCCACCCAGCTGGGAGCCTGAACGCCCTGGCTCTGGGCCACAGGCTGCCCCAGGGCTCCAGGAACACCCACAATCTTTCCAAATTACAGGGCCAGTTGTCCGGCCTCCGGGAAGCTGCCCCTGCAAAGGGCCCACAGACAAATTGCTCTAAAAATAGACTTGGGGAGGCCAAGGAGCTGGGCTAGCCTAGCGGGGGTGGATGGAGAACCTGCCATGAGAGGGGGTCTGCCCCACATGCTGCCTTTCTCCAGGGTGGGGCCTAAGGACTAACTGACATGACTTCCAGAGGCTTGGCTAAGAGGCCAGGGCATGTCGGGAAGCTAAGACCTCTGCAGCCACAAGCCCTGCAGCCATTTAAAGCCCAGGTGGTGGCCCTGCCCTCAGGGGTGAGTGGAGTGGGGTATAACATCCCATCTCTGCCCCTAGGGAATCTCAAAGACCCTCAGAAGCAGCTAAGTGCAGCTCTTAGCCCTCTATACATATGAACTCATTTATCCCTCCCAATAATCCTATGGGGCAGGCACTATTATTATCATCCCCATTTAATAGATAAGAATATTAAGAAACTCATTCAAAACCATTGTCCTCTGAAGAGAAAGAGGAATTAAACGTTCATTGTTTTAGTCCTAGGTTCTAGCCTAGTCCTATTAAATAGGACTTTTATATGCATAATTAAAATGGCCACTAATTCTTTTTATATATTATGTACTGGGCACTAAACTGGGTACTTTATGTATATGTTTAAAAATTCTGGCCAGAGTTCTTTTTTTAATGTATGTTTATCTATTTTGAGAGAGAGAGAGAAAGAGAGAGCAAGTAGGGGACGGTCAGAGAGAGGGAGAGAGAATCCTAAGCAGAATCTGCAGAGCCTGACTTGGGGCTGGATCCCATGAACTGCGAGATCACCACCTGAGCTGGAATCAAGAGTCTGACAGTAAACAGACTGAGCCACACAGGCGCCCCCCCCCCCCAAGGCCAGAATACTTATGGCACATACGTTATCTTCATTTTATAATGGAGGCCCAGAGAGATTAAGCAACTTGCTCAAGATCACACAGCAGCTAGTGGAGGCATCAGGATGCACACCAAAGCCTGTTTGGGTTCAAACCCAGTACCCCCTGCTGGCCCTTGAGCCAGAAAAATGTGGTGGCGAGGGTGTGAGGTTTAGTATCAAGGAGCTTGCTTGCTCCCAAGTCCCTACTATGCATTTTACTGTGTGTGTGACCCAAACAGCTTAGTTTTCCTGAAGCCTCATTTTTCTGATCAGACAAATGGGGATCACGATAAAAGTGAGAAGAAAAAAGTGTGAGATAAAGATAAAAGTGTGAGAGATAAATGAGATAATTAACATGAAGATACTTTGTAAACCATACAGTACTATAGAAATATTTATAGTTATTCCCATTTGTAGATGAAGAAACTGAGGCTTTATAGAGGCTAAGAGATGTATCCATGATCACCTAACCAAATGTGACAGGGCCAGGACCACCTGTATTTGAGGAAACATCCAAAGGGGCCATTTCTAGGTGGGGCACAGTCTGGGGTTGTCCAGTGTTGGTTACCAGACAGGAGAGACTCAAAGGGCCCTTTGCTTAAACAGGCAGGATGGGGGGGGGG